TTGAGGTTGTCATTCATGTGTACACCCAAGTACTTGTAGCTGGAGACCACTTCCACCGCAGATCCTCTTATGTTCAGGGGGGTGTAGATGTTTTTGTTCCTTCTGAAGTCCACAATCATCTCCTTTGTTTTCTTCACATTGATGTGAAGGTTATTCTCTTTGCACCAGCTCTCCAGGTGTTCCACCTCTTGCCTGTAGCTGGACTCATCATTGTTTGTGATGCATCCCACCACCGTTGTATCATCTGCAAACTTTACAATGTGACAGCCTGGATGGGTAGCTGCACAATCATACGTGAGCAGAGTAAACAGGAGGGGGCTCAACACACATCCCTGAGGAGAGCCAGTGCTGAGGGTTATGGTGGAGGAGGAGAAGTTGTGGATCCTCACTAACTGTGGTCTGTTTGTTAAGAAGTCTAGGACCCAGTTGCAAATGGAGGGGCTTAGTCCTAATGTGGATAGTTTATCCATCAGGGTTTGGGGGATCATGGTGTTGAAGGCGGATGTGAAGTCCACAAAGAGCATACGGACGTAAGAGTTTTTCTGCTCCAGGTGGTTGAGCGCAGTGTGGACCACAGAGGAGATGGTGTCCTCTGTTGATCGGTTCTCACGGTATGCATACTGATGAGGGTCCTCATTGATGTTGATGGTTGTTTTGATGTGAGTCATGGCCAGTTTTTTGAAGCATTTAGCGACTATCGGGGTGAGGGCCACTGGCCAATAGTCATTCAGACCAGTCACTGTAGAGCTTTTTGGGACTGGGATGATGGTGGCAGTCTTCAGGCAAGTGGGAACTGTCTTCGGGGTAAGTGAGGAGTTAAAGATGTCTGCCAGCACCTCGCAGAGCTGATCGGCACATTCCTTCAACACTTTTCCGAAGATGTTGTCTGGGTCAGTTGCCTTGTGCGGATTAATCCTCCTGAAGGTACTCCTTACTTCGGCTGAGGTCACGCCGAGATGCTCTTCATCCGGTGGTGAGGTGAGTCTGGTGCTGGGTGGTCTGTTCGCGTCTTCAAAGCGTGCATAGAACTTGTTGAGGGCATCAGGCAGAGATGGATCTTTGGGGCATTGTTCACTCCTTCCTTTATAATCTGTTATGCACTTAATGCCCCTCCACATGCTCAGAGGGTCTTGTGAGATGAATTGACCCTCAATCCTCTGTGCATGTGTGGCCTTGGCCTTCTTAATACCAACAACCACAACTCTTTCCTTGTCCTACTCAGCTCCTCTGAGCTTCCAGACCTGAAGGCAGTGTTCCTGGCTTCCAGCAGGGTGCACACCTCTGCATTCAGCCAAGGTTTTCTGTTTGGGTAGCTTTTAACATTTCTGATAGTGGAGACCGTGTAGCGCCAATTTACAGCAGAAGTCATCACAGGGCACTGCACAGATAAATTCACATATATAAAAATCAGTTAATAACAATATTTATCAAAGGAGCCAGCAGATTGCTTAGAGTTATCACTTCGTCGTAGTCTTCCATCCTCAACGAACACAGTGGAAAGGAAAAACACCTTTATGAAGAAGAAACCTCCAGCAGAACCAGACTCAGGACAAGCGGCCTCTGCTTCTACTGGCTGGGTTCGAGAGGGCAGGAAGGAGAAAACGAACACACAGTGACAGGTCCAGGATGGAAGCCATGGTTTATCACTAGGAGGAAAGACAAAAAGACAGAAATCACATGTTAAGAAAAAATAATTTCAAATTCGTATCTATTTGTAACTATTCATTTGATGAAATGAGGTCAATTTATCCTCCAGTAGTCTAAGTTTATAACCGCATAGGATAAGGTCTAGATCAACTACGGTTTTACAGCTTGGTTCCAACAACAACAAAATTCTTTGTGAAGTTTGAAAAAAGAAGGTTTGGAGTTAAGGAAAAAGATTGTAAAGTAAAATTATTACATTTAAGACATGTTTATAGTTTTTTATTAGCTAAATTTGTCTCTTTTTATTAAAGAATTCCAACTGTTTATGAAGTGAACATTGATTCTAAAGGCTTTAATACACATGAATTGATAAAACATCCATCCATCCATCCATTATCTTTATCCGCTTCTTCTTTTTCAAGTCATGGGGGTCACTGGTGCCCATGTCCAGCCATCACTGTGCGAGAGGCAAGGGACACCCTGGACAGGTCTCCAGTCCTTCACAGGGACACATAGAGACAAACAAGACAAACAACCATTCACTGGAACAATTTAGAGTTACCAGTCAGTCTAACATGCATGTTTTTGGTCTGTGGGAGGAAACCAGAGTACCCAGAGAAAACCAATGCATGCAAACTCCACCCAGAAAGGTCCAAGACCAGGATTTGAACCAGCGATTTTCTCGCTGAGAGGCAACCGCTTTACCAACTGCACCACCATGCCACTTATTGGTAAAACAAGTGCTCAAAATCTATGGAACACAAAGAACAAATACAAACCAGTTCAAACAAAGTCCTTAGAATAGTAATTACCCGAGAGAATTTTAAAACTAATTTCCTTAGCTTTTGAAAGAAGTGCAAGTCTAATTTAAGTCAAACAGCCAAAATAAAACAATCACAATTTAGGTAAAATAATATAAAATGAAGTTTTGTCAACCGCAGGCATTTGGTATTATAAGGTATTTATCATAAAGAGCTGGGATCTGATTGGGATTTGACTGAAAGGGGTTTAAAAAATAACTTACAAGCGCTCAGAGAAGTGTAGATGATTCCTGGCTGCTTTTACACCAGATTTAATTTTAGTATGTGTAAAAGTGACTTGGTTACAGTCATTTTTAGTACTTCCTGAGCTTTTCAATAAATTCATGAGATATTTTGTTGTATTTGCTGCTCGTGTGCACTGTGCAGCTCCAACAGTGGATGTAGTTACACATTATGACCACTGGGTGGTGCGATCGGGCCTCAGTCACGAAATACAGCAGTTCTTTTTTCTGTTTTTTGGGTTTTTTTGCCCAGTGTGTGTGTGAGACAAATGAAAAATTACTGGGTGCTAATAAAATTCACATTTTTTACCATCCCAAAACAGAAAGTGACTTAACTGAATGCATACTGATGGAGTTTGGAAACACCACAACATACGATCATAAATTACCAAAGTTGTGGAAACTTGGAAACCAGTGGTTCACCACTACCTCAGCTACAAGACATCTACACCACCTGCTGCAGAAGGAAAGCATTATGGATTATGGACTCACGCCACCCTGCATAAACCGTTCTCTCACCTTCCTTCAGGGAAGCTCTCACGGTGCATCAGTGGCCAGACCTCGCACCTCAGATGGTTTTTACCTTGCAAGCTTGTGAAAAGTGGCTTCTAAATGTTGTGGTTTGTTTAAATGGAGATTTTGATCACTTGCTGCCATAAACAGAGGCCAATAATGTTGTTTTTTTGTCTGTCTGTTATCATTATGATTCATGAAGCAATGATAGGATTTGAATTAAATCAAGGTTCATGCTCAATAATCCAGGTAAATAATCCAACAATGTTCAGGTCATCTGGACAGTTCATTGAGCATGAACCACTTTGGCTGTGGCATCAACAGGGGAGAGGACAGCCCCAAGAAACCATCTTATCACCAGCAAACTGGTTGGTCCACTGTAGGAGTGTACTGCTTAGTGGGGAAAACAGTTTGTTTGTGACTCATCAGACTGATGAAGCCCTTCGGATGGAGGGCGCAACGTCAACAAAAAAAAAGAAACCGTCCAGATGACCTGACTGAGCATTGTTGGATTTTAATTAAACTCTCAGAAACTAATTATCGGATATACGACTTAATTGACTTTTAGAGTTAATCTGATTAAAGATGGATGCAACAGTTAATCAAATTTTTCTTACACAAAAAATAGCTACAACTCAGCTAATTTTGCATGTATTGAACAAAAAATTGGAGTGGTAGTAGCTGAGAAGCACCTCCAAAACATACTTTGAGCACTAAAAGATTGCATTGGACTTTTGTTTAAAACTTCGTCAAGCAAAGCTATTACTTCATCGGCTGCTTGTTTTTAAATAATGCTTGTTTTTTAATGTTTCTTATTCTCCTAAATCTGTGCAATTTCAGTTTTACGGTCCAGTAAGAGCCAATGCATGATGCACTATACAGTACTTAATGCATATTACAGTTAAATGACCCTTTATTAGTGTAATCAACATACAGCAGCAGAATGGAAAGACAAGAAGAAAGCAAAACGATGACAGAATCTAAAACGATGACGTGAGAAAACAGATGGAGAGACGCTTTGCCTGATTGTTCTTTGACTGCAGGACATGAAGTCCTAATTGTTACCTGATCCGCATCTAACTTTTGGTTCTGCTTTACTTCATTGCCCCTTGTTCCTGGAAAGCGAGCCAGATCTGATCGTCTAAAAGATTTGTCTTTCTAGTGAAGCCGATGTACATCTACAGGCCAACACGGTTGAACTCCTGATTGTGTGTGAAGCAGATCGGCCTGGTGGCACAAAGATTGCCCATTTGTCACTGCAGTCAGTCGTGATCAGAAACACTTTTTGTTTAGAGTAAACTCAAACACATGCGCAAACAGTCTTATTTAGTCAGAGCGGCCTCGCAGAAACCTCCCTGGTTGTCCATGTGTGTACCAGCTGTTGGGTGACCACTCTTCCCACTTACACACCCCAACCAGAGGGTTCCTCATCTGAGATCACAGCTGGATCTGCCACAGGAGAGAATTACTTCAAAGACGGGAGGAGGGGGATCATTTAAAGCCCTTTGACTTGCTGCAATTTCCAATCAAAGTGAAATTAGCTGCAGAAGTTAAAACCCACTGCTTCAATCCAGACAGCTCTCATCGGTCAGGCAGGCTGCAAGTCGGTGTGTAAATCCTTCATTTCTCTTTCCATTACTCTGCCATTTTCAGCAACTCTACACTGCTTGAGTCTGCCATCTTGTGCTGAGAAACGGGGGCAAGAAAATACACCACTCCGAGGGAGCGTTTGTTAAGAGGCCTTGTTGATTTCCTGGCTGGAAATGAGGTTGCCGAAAGACACGCTGAAAAAGTAGAGGGAGAGGATAGAAGAGAAGGACATTAACTGCTTCCATACAAGGAGAGGTAGGGGGAGGAAGGAGGAGGAGGAGGGTAACATGAGGAGAGACAATAAGAGAGAGAAAGAAGGGAGGAGAGAAGTGTTGGAAGGAGATAAAGGCAGCCCACGGATGAGCGCAGGTTGATAGGGCTGCTCCAGTTCCAGGGGAAAGTGACGGATCTGTGATCGTGCTGCTGCTTCACTGTCACTGCAAACTGATCCAACACAGGTAAGGAACACACACACACACACACACACACACACACACACACACACACACACA